CCGTAAATGACACTCCTCGATTGCTTGATTGTTCAATAACCTTATTTACGCCTCATCCCTTCACCCGGCCCCTTCAATCTATCCAACCCCATCTTGCCACGTATACACAGCACATCCTTGAAAATCATCGACATCCAAACGGGCTAAATAGTGTAGAGCATTACGTTTAATAAGTAAGTTTGTCTATGGCCAATGACACCGATATTATTGTCGTCATCATTAATTCCTACGACAATCATGTGGTCAGATACGCGGATTACAAATCAATAGAAACTCATTTGATTAGCATGGTGTGCGAAAAAGCTTTAAACAAATTTCTCCTCCTCTGTATTACAAGTTTATGCAATATCTACTATCCCCCCACTGTCGATCTGAACTTTATCCCACCAACTCATCCAATGCATACGCGAAAATGAATTTAACTGAATGAACCTTCTTTTAACGTATATCTTAATAAAAAAAGTTACTACTTTTCATCTATCAATTATAATTAATAATTGCAAATAATCCCGGTTTTTGCGGTGCCAAGAAACGTAAATGTCTATTATTACCATATCGTGTACGAAAATCAATGACGTCCTGGTTGCATTGTAGATCGCAAAGCCTGAATGATTATAATCTGGTGCAAATTGTTCGTCGAGAATGCACGATAGCGATCAAAAATCAAACTGTGAGTGAGATATATACACTCGAATTATCAACTTGCGTTATGAATATATGCTTAACAAAGGAATAGATCACAAATGACTGAAACTAGTCCCTAATTGATCCGTAATTAATAACTGATGCATTGTATGCAATAAACGGTTCTCTACCGGTTCGATCAATATTACCACGAGCATCATTCACGCATGACTCCTGCATCTAACACCCTGTAAAAAATTATGCATGTCATTATGTAATCGCGTTACATGCACGAATAATCGTCCAATAAACTTGCAAGGCAAGAATCGCTAGCACAACATCCGAGTGTTCCTCGTGTGCATAAAGATTTTTTTTGCAAATGAACCCTGTCAGTATGTGACCGTAGAATCCATGGCGCGAGATCGAAGGAAGCCAAAATGTTATTGTACATTAGCAGACATTAACGTAAATGGCATTAACGTCAATAATGTTAGCAAATCTTTGTCCTTTTTATGATTGATTCTGAAAGAAAAACTACCAAGATTCTCACAATGCATATACAAGATCTACCGTTGAAGGCCGCCGTTTCCGGCGATCTTCACACAGATCTAAGTTCCAACCCCTTCTCGGGGATCTGCGAAACTATCTAATGCAGGTTAGTACATTGGAACAAATGAACGAATAAAACTTTTGCTGGAAGAAACAAATTCCATAGTAAAATGTAATAAATGGTTAATTGTTCGATATTTTTAACGTTACTTGCGCTATTGGTGACCAATTTTGTACAAATGGTTTGATTTCGTGCGGAAAGACATCAATGTCAATAAGTACACGCAATTGCAAAAAATTGATTACAACCATAGATTGTATTGATTATCTTGCCAATATTATTTAAATTAGTAATGATCTGTAACGTTCTGCTGGAGATAATAACAATTCACAAATTAGTTGGTCTGTAAGAAGTATGCTTAAGAATCTAAACATAATTATTTTACGACTTGGTTTCAACGTTCTTCAAACACGATAAGCGAATACCTAGCGCAACTGAGAAACTAATAAGTTGTACAGTAAATGTCTTCCTATTCCATTTTTATTTTCTTGTTAATAAGACTGGCCAACACATTATTTACAGCTTTCCATTTACATATTTCCCTTTTGTTTGAGTATTCGTTGAGCTTGAACTTTTTGTTTTACTCGTATTATTTAAACGTGTAAAACCGCGCGAATAATAAAATAATATTAAATTTATTGGTAAAATATTAACTAATTTTTCTCCAATACAATATTTTACAAATTCGTTAAATAACTTTGGGAATTTTTAGGATAACTTAATATGGATATATCGTCCTTGAGGTATACTTGGAATGTTTGTACATGTTAGGCAATTCTATAATGACTAACATTAATGAAAATATATATATACTGTAAACGTGTTATCTTGTTGGGACATACAAGAAATTTTCTGAAATTTTATAATTTCCAATAACATGATTTATTTATTTCTTTGTTATGACGAAGTTAACCTGATTACGTGGTAATAATCGACATGCTAATTTTATCGCTTTTGACCAGTATCCAGTACATGTACAGTCTATTCCAATTTAATTAAAACCTTTTTATCCAAGAGATATTCAATGGCTACTGTTCGAAAAAAAATAATAAACATTAACCATAAATTACCGTAAAACTCCACCAGTTTTAGAAGGCAGGTTTTGATTTATATCCGGGTACTAATATAATAATAATTTTCGATTTATAGCCCATTCTGTATTTTTCTGTTAGTATTGATTTGAACGTACATGTATGGTGCAATTTATCATTATAATCAATACATACTATATGTCAAGTCGACAATATTAATATGTCAATAATATTTCGCGTCGTGTCACCTTTTTTTTCTCAATCAGCAATTGTGTGTCGGGCAATTGTACCCTGATTAATACGGTGTACCCCCCTACAGACCCAGGGTACTAAATCAATTAGGGAAATACCCCGGGTACACATGTTGGTCAAAAAAGATAACAATGCTAATATTTATAAACGACTTGCTGTATAACTGTTTCTCGGTTTGAATAAACCTCCGGTAGGTAAAAAAAAGCTTGCTGGAATATTTACTCTCCTTCTTGAGACATGGTAAAGGTTTTATATCGCTGTGATATATGTTATTCCATACGACGCCGTCAGAGAAATATTTGGTGATCGACTCACTGAATTCGCCTATATCTTGCCGATTATTAGGACCAGCGTCACACATCTTTTATATGCCTCTGGTGCTGACTGTCTTTCACTTAAATTAAGACAATATGGATCATCATGCAAAACTATGTTCCCGCCATGAAGATCACAATACACTGATCCTGTATTGTGGATAGCAATATACTTCAAGTACTCTAATACCAATTCATCCTTCACGTCAAGTTGTTAAAGAATTGCCATTGTTAGCATATCATGTACCTGGGTCTTGTGTAACTCCACAATTTTGAGAAATTGATAAACTTGGTATGAGCACTTGACATGGTTTCTAAATTGTTAAATGGAAAGTCAGATTAAATATCATAATCACTTTAATTAATAATCTCAAATATTGCTTACCTCGGTAATAAATAATTCCGGTGTTTCATCAAGAGTCTCAAAACGTTCGAGTAGAGCAAGATTTTTTTGGCATAATAAAATGTTGTTACACTTGACAGTATAAATTGTTCCATAACCACCAGATCCTATCTCTTTGAGTTTACCAAGTCGTTATACTGCATAAATTTACACATCCATTAAGTCGTATAATTGGATGTATTTATGGTAGAAAACTAAATAATATGCTTGTCGAGTGATCCGATTATCCAAATATTCTCGGGGATTAATATCTCCAGATATTCATTAATTAGCCATTTGAATAAACAATACAATTATTACAGCAGTCAATATGCATAATACTATTTGCACTATTTACACGTGAAATGAGGTTTCAAGTCCTTTATTGATCACACATGGGTGGACCCTTATTTACTGTGTGTACACGTGAAATGATTCACCCCGATGAAAAATCTTTTTGAGCGTCAATTCATTTGTCATCGGTTCTAACCATTTCGCTATAAGTGTGCGACCATGGCGTAATGAGGTCATTTCTCGTACGTTCATCAAAGGGAATACTCTATTTATGGCAAAATGGACTGTCGGCAAAATGCATTGTCGATGAAATGACTGTCGGAAAAATGTATTGTCGATGAAATGCTTGTCGATGAAATGAACCGGACCCAATGAAATCCATTCCAAATTCGCATTATTTGGTGAGTTTGTCTGTAATTGAGATTTCTTAATAAACTTATCGAGTTGTTTATTGTTACTAGTCCATCATTGGATAATTATTATGTCCACAAACGCATTATAGTCAATAATTCCAACGCCGGTACTTTTATGGTCGTACAGCATAACTAATACGAATGGACTAAGTGTTGGAATTATTGATTATAACCTACTGTAGTAGAGACACTTGTTATAAGTAATCCAAAAGCTTTATTGACATCAAATGGAAATTTTTTGATGCACGGATAGTCAAGGACATTATTAAACGCAAAGACCGGATCAATCGATTATTACTAGTTTCAAAACATTCATACTTTATTACTGATATGTAAATAGTATTGCTTGATTTCAATTGTATTACTAGACAAGTATTTTCCGGACGCGCGTTTGCAGTTGAGAACAACTAATAGATAGAGTAATCTATGAGTTAATTAACAAGGAGTGTACGCCAAGTCAGTTTGAATATGTTGAGCAGGAGAGCGTGATGTGCGAAATTTTGTTATCGAGCATGTTTTTGTAATATTTGCAATAGTTTATCTTCATTATAATAATAAATATCACAATAAAAATTCGGTGCGTCAGTTAAACAAACAATAAAGCTAGAGCAATATTACTAATGACTATATTATGTTACGTAAACGATTATCTTAAATATTAATTCAGAATTTTGAATTTATCGTTATCCGAACATGGGATAATTCTTTCCTACTTTCAGAAAAATTTCCAGAAAACAACAACAACAATAATTGAGCAATTGAGCAAAAACTGAAAGAGAGACAATACGTTCTTTTATGTCATAAAAAACCTCCAAGCCTTTAGTGGTCATTTTGTATAGTCAGTAATCATAAATACTGAGTTCAGTTTACAGCAATTAGACAAACGTTTAACCCGATTTGTTGTATAAATCATTTATGCAAATATATTCCAAATATTTATTAGATTGTTGATTTGTTGATTTGTTTTTTGTTTTTTTGTTATTGGAACAAAAAGCTGTGGCTGCCTTCTTGATCACTAATTATTTTTATAATATGTTTGATGACTTGCATTCAAATGAATAAATTGCTTTCGCAAGAAATCTAATACTATTTCAGTAAATTTAAAAAAGTAAAAAAAAATGGATAAATAGCAGGTATATGGTTAAGTTAATAAAGTGTAAAGTAATAACAAAAGATGCAAACAATTGACGAGTCATTTTGTAAAAGATACTTACTGTAAACTTCACTGTAACGTGTTCTTCGATGTGTTTCCACAGTTGTTCTACGTAATCTTCACATTCCTTTTGATAGTTTAACCATTTTGTCCTAAAACGCCATGCTTCCAGTTCGTTGAGGTGCTGTCCTCGCTGTTGATAGCTGTCAAGCTCTTTGAGTAGTTCTTCAATCTTGACACCGCGCTTTTGCCAATAATCTTTCACTAGTCCAACTCCTATTGTTGCACTTTTCAAAGTTTCATGTAATGATTCAACTGTCCTCTGGCTGTTTATTTGAATTTCCAGTTCATAAATTTCCTTCTTAAGCTGCTCGATACGCGCGGCCGCATCAATGAACGTTATGATGCCGAAAACTCCCGTAACTACACTTACACTCTCTATTTTCACAGTTGCTTCAGCAACTACCACTTCAGGCCCTAAAATACTAGACACTAGAGAAATTATACCAAATCCTAACCCAAATAACCGCTTTGTAGCTGACTTGTTTTTACGTTGTTGCAAACGTCTCAGCTCTTCCCTTTTATCGATAAGGGTTTCCAGGGAATCTCTTATATTATTCGAACAACCCTGCAAATTATCATATATCCTTCTAAATGTCTTTTCAAGACCGTTAGCAACGTTTTCGTTATCTCTCACAAAGTTCAAAAGTACTTCCACCACATTTCTGTATTCCGCAATTTCAGTGCATACTATTCCAAGAAGTTCGACATGCGCGACTAGCCTAGAACTTCTGTCTCCAATGATTTTGCTCGCAATTAAAGAGTTCATTACAGTCTTACAAAATAAAGCCGCATTACTTTCAACTTCTTCGCCAATACTCTCTATGAGGCTCTGGGTTTTTGCTAGCTCCGAACATTTCTTAAATTCTTGGGCGGTAGTTATAATAAGCGAGCTTACTGAATTGGCAGCTACATACGACGAGCTTTCATCCACGGAATCCATCATTACAAGACTCGAGAGAATTAACGCGCGGAAGCACAATTTTTATTGTTACCGTATCCGCTCGTGAATATGAAAATGATCGGCAAACCGTCACGTAAACTTACGAAAATAAGCGCCCCCCAAAATAAGTAATCCTTCTAAATGTTTCTATATGCATGTGACTGCACACCTGCAGACCTGTGATTTGTATTACACAAAGATGGTAATAAAAACTATCGTGTATTCCAAGTTTGCAAGTCATCGCGTACAGAGAATTTAATGACAACTCTTGGTATTATGGTAATAAAATGTGCTGTTTGTTGTTTCGTTAATAAAGGCTGTCGGACGTATATGGGTATTGCAAATGAACTAAATTGATAACAAGTGATTTTCTCCTCATTATCTTATCAAGATGCCCAGAGAAGCAAAAGTTATCCTGCTTCCTGAACAATTGATAATATTGATTATGCAACAATGACGAGTAATCATGCTGCAGCGCGAATGTTTGCTGTGACCATATGCAAATTAGTAGATGGCAAAGACCTGAGAAAGGCAAGACTACAAAATTACGGAGTAGAAATGAATCAACGCGAAGGAGAAATATGTGTTTTTTTATTGTCTACACCTACGATTGAAGGAGAAATATGCGACACCCTATGAAACGATTACTTGCTACAGATTTCAAACAATTGTATCCTGATGCTATCAGCAACTTCAAAACCTCGGATCTGTATTTATAAATGTTCTCTCAACCGCATCAATAACATGGACGAGACGCCTATCTTTTTCGACATGGTCGGTGCTCTTACACTTGATTACCGTGGTGCACAATCAATACCCATTGTACAACCGGAAATAATAAGAATCGACTTGCTAGTGTTTTGGGTACATGGCAGATGGAACCAAGCTCCCACCTCGTACCTTTACTTTTAGCGTACAAGCTTCGGTGTGGTAGGATAGCATGCACACAATTCGGATTTCGAGTTTGCGAGCAACTTGTGTGCTCTGCGTCAACATGATGACGGCCACCGATGGCTATTTTTAAAGGAAAGAGAAAAAATATTAGTCAAAACGATTAATATGTCATTGGATTATGGAAGCATGGAATAGCATTCCAGCGGAAATAACTGTCAAGTCCTTTGGGAAATGCGGCATCTCAAATGCTTTAGACGGCTCAGAAAATGGTTCGATTAATGTTGGGATAAGAGTGTATTGTAATGACATTGGAGGATATTAGCGTAGACTTGTAACCCGCCGCATAAAGTGTCGTGTGTAACTGTCAATGAATTAAATATTTAAGTAGAGTTTCGGTACAATTTTGTTAGCAACTGTTAATTTCCACTTTTCACAGCAGACAACGTGCATAAACCAAGTCGTCAAGCGGTTCTTTAAATACAAAATTACAAGTCTCTTTAATGCGTCAGCTTATATTTTTCTACAACGCGGCTAAATAGTCCCCCGCAATTCAAGCAAAATTTGGGATTATTCTCAAAATCAAAAAACAATAACACGCAAATGGGAAACACCCCCCTGAAAAGAGAGTTAACACATACTTTCATGCTTTTTGGCGATTGCTTTGTACGGTCAGTAATAACAAGTTACTTGGGCGCTGATAAGCAAGTTTTGCGGCAAGTAGACAAAAGCCTAACCTGGTTGATACAAGAGTATTCACTAATAATGCAAATAGATTCTGGTTAATTGGTAAGAGCAAATGGTAACCATCGACCAAGGTATGATATGCAAAGTTATACTCCATGGATTGATCATTTACGTTATATTCCGCTTAATTCATTAGACGACATGCATGCCATTCACTCTATTAATGTACGAGGAAGAGAAATACCGAACTGGACAGATATTAACATCAACGAATACATGACGTAGTTGGTGTTGATGTCTGCTTTTCCTAGAGAACAGCACATGAACGTACACTGCCTTTAGCACTATTTTTGAACAGATACTATCACATGATGATATCGATAATCAAATATATTGCTATTTTGTTGTTATTCATAGAATTTATTAGTATTAGTAATTAATAGATGCGCGAACTTTCATGATGCTATGCGAGCAGCGAATTGGTATTTGCTTTTCTATTGGGAATGAATCGAATGCTTTTCTCACATTAAGTACATGATGTTACACTACCTTGTTAAAGAAGATTCACCACCAACGACAAGATCAAAACGAAGCAGAGTCACATCAGTTTACAGTTGTTACTATTCCCAGAAAGAAAGATCCGAGGTAATATGTCATCCACAATTACGCCATCTTTTTGATGATAAAAATAAAGAACAGATTCGGACTGTTTTTCATTTCATAAATCCATTGTACTAGATTTAGTATAGTAAGATTTTTGTAAAAGAGCAATGCACCCAAGACTGGTTTGCACATAATTTTTATTTGCACAAAAGTGTAGACTTGAAACCAGTGTTCATTCTCGCATAAGTTGAATAGAATCAATTATGTGAACATTTTAATAGCTGTACTAAATTTAATACAATCGTCAAACAGATACTCATTAATAACAGAAAAAATGCAAACATTAACATGCATGCTTAATATTGCCAAGAGGGCAATGATTGATTCCCATAGTAAAAAAATCTGTAAAATTGTTCAAAACATTACTATGACGTGTTCTTCAATGTGTTTACACAGTTGTTCTACATATTCTTCACACTCCTTTTGATAGTTTATCCATTTTGTCTTAAAACGCCATGCTTCCAGTTCATTGAGGCGCAGCCCTCGCTGTTCATAGTTGTCAAGCTCTTTTAGTAGTCCTTCAATCTCAAAACCGCGCTTTTGCCAATAATCCTTCACTTGACCAACTCCCATTGTTGCACTTTTCAAAGCCTCGTGTAATGATTCAATTGTCTTGCCGCTGTTTATTTGAGCTTCCAATTCACGAATTTCCTTCCTAAGCTGCTCGATAAGCGCAGACGCATCGATAAATGTCTTGACGCCGATGGCTCCCGTAACTGCACTTACACCCTCCACAACCATTGTTTCTGGCCCCAAAATACTAGACATTAGAGAAACCATACCCAACCCTAACCCGACTAACTGTTTTGTAGCCGTGTCGTTTTTACCTCGCTGTAAACGCTTCAGTTCATCCTTTTTATCGTCGAGGGTTTCCAAGCAATCTCTTATGCTATTCGAATAAACCTTCAATCTATCATATATCCCCCCAAATCTCGTTTCAAGATCGCTAGCAATGTTTTCGTTTTTTCTCACAAATTTCAAAAGTGTTTCCACCGCATTCCTGTATGGTGCAATGTCTGTGCATAGTAGTCCAAGAAGTTCACCACGTGCGACCATCTTGAAGCTTTCTTTGAACATACTAGTACTCGCAAATAAAGAAGCCATGACGGTTTTACAAAATAAAGCCCTATTATCTTCGACTTCTTCAGCAATACTCTCTATAAGGTCCTGATTTTTTGCTAGCTCCGAACATGTCTTAAATTTGTTGGCAGCAGTTATTATATGCGAACTTACTAAATCGGCAGGTGTATACGAGCTTTCCGAATCCACGAAATCCATCGTGCGCAACTCGAATATCTTAAGGGTTTATTGATTGACCGCGGTATACAATACGAAATTTTAACCACACGTTTGACTGTGTAGGGTTGTAAAAAAATTTTTCTTTCGGAACAGAGAATATTCGAAGCAAAGAAGCAATGAAAAGAAGCAACAAATAATTTCGTGCTACGGGTTTGTATGTAGATGTTAGTTTACCAACGATCCCAGGTGCGTGACAACTTTGTTATAGTTGATGTATATATATAAATAAATTTATTGGTCAGCATATAGTTGTGTCACAATAACAAAGTCACGCACCTTCGGATTGACATATGTAAATTAGCAACAATTATGTAACATAGTAATAGGAATAGTTTGACATTAATAATAATAATGTTAGCTCTGTTGCTATTATAAATAATTAATACAGTAATGATTTGCACTATAAGCTCGACATTATAATGTATTACTGTATTAAGCTTGAATGAAACATTGATTCGAATGTGATAACAGCTTAATTTGAGATCGACAATTATTAGGTGTCCAAATGGGAGGCATTTATTTCATTGACAATCATTTCATCGACACCGACAGTCACTTCACATGACACATTGTTTATCGCACTTATCATTGGTTTTCGATGAAATTTATGTCGGTGAAACGTACTGTCGGTGACGATGAAATGAACCGGACCCGTCCAAATTGACCAACAGCACAGCTGATGATCACAATAATTGATGTCGCCTATGCATTTGAAAATATGGCAACTAAAACACTCATCCATGGATGTGTCTCTTGTAAATACCGTAGGTTTATTAGTGTGCGCACAACATAAACATGCTCATACATCATCGATTTACAAGAAACCCAGTACTCTTTCCTCAGTAAACATAAAATGATAACAAAGAAAACAACGGCTGGCTCTTATAATACAATTGTGCTCGAATATTTCGAGTACTCTTTCTGATAATCTAACCACTCCGTCCTAAAGTTCCGCGCTTCCGCTTCGTCGAGGTGTTGTCCTCGCTGTTCATGATTTTCAAGCTTTTTAAGAAGTCCTTCAAGACCATAATTGCGCTTTTTCCAATACGCCTTTGTTTGGCCAGCTTCAACTGTCGCACCTCTCAAAGCTTCATACAATACCTCAACTGTTTTCTTGCTGTTTATTTGAATTTCTAATTTCTTAATTTTCTCCCTAAGCTGTTCAATATGCTCACACGCGCCAGAACAAGTGTTGGAATTGTAAGCCGCGCTCAGGCTCGCACCTCCAAGTAATAGTTCAGGCGCAAAACCACCAACCGTGAATGATGCAGCTAGAGAAAGTATGTTCGCTGCTGTGGACCATTTTCCAGTTGACTGTCGTTTATCTGGTTTGTATTTATTTTGCTGCAGACGCTTCAGTTCTTCCTTTATATCGTTAAAGTCTTCCAAGTAATCTTTTATGTTATTCGAACAACTCTTCAAATTATCAGATATTTCTTCGAAAGCCGTTTCAAGACCATTAGCAACGTTTTCGTATTTTCTCACGAAAATCAGAAGTGTTTCTATTGCATTTTTATATTGTGCAATATCTGTGGATACTGGTTCAACAAGTTCAACATCTGTGACTGGCTTAAAACTTTCCTCTAATATGCTTTTGTTTCCAGATATAAAATTCACGACGGCTTTATAAAATAAATCCTTATTGACCTCGACTTCTTTAGCCATACTCTCCATAATCTTCTGACCTTCTGCTAGATCCGAACATTTCTCAAATGCTTGGGCGGCAGTTACTATAAGCGAGCTTCCTGGATTCACAGGCTCCATTAACAAGACTCGAGAGACATTGTGCGGAGCACTCGAGAATTTATTCCGAAGTGTTACTTACTAACTCAGTTTGGATGTTTTTTCGGAGTATCATTCCTTAACTTCTAAATCTGGAACATATGATGTGCAGCAAACTAAGTCTTTGAGTGTAAACAATTAGAATTAACTGAATGATAACAACAGTAGATTATACCAAAGTTTGACGTCTTATTCAAAACAATTTATCAGCTTGCCAAATCTCGTGTTTTTGGGAACTGTAAATTTCTGCTCAGACTAGGTCTAGTAGATAATAGCTAATTATTAGGTACCAAACAATGTTTATGTCAAAATATATTCAGTTAAAGAAAAGGTTATTACGCAACGCAAAGATTTCTCCAGCCGTATAATATCGACTGAATTCTAAATAGTTTTTTGTCGCCGGTACAATAATTACACTATTAATATTAACAGCTTACTAATCTGTTTAATTCATTCTATCTATTGATTTTAAACGTTCATTGGTCGTTCGAATATTTACTAACATAAGTACTGGATCAGCTCGACAATCACTTAGAAAAAGCTTTATTTAATATCTCTATTCTCCGTATATACTATGTAAACGTAGACTTTAGTAGTGACCAATATGTAAATCATTATTGTATATTATACAGTCAACTCTCTTTATAGGGACCTTATAAGGACCCGATGACTTATAAGGACCACCTGCGCTTCCAATCATATTTTTATGAGGACCCGCTGTTTATAAGGAAGCGATTTGCTTTGTCCGAGGTGTTCTTATGAAGAGAGTTGACAGTATCGATAAAGTTACAACGTGAAACATATGAAAATTATAATACGTCAAGTCACTTTATCATTAAAACGGTTTATTCAAAGTAACGTCATTTATTTCAACAATACAATACGAACGTTATTGTTACCTTCATAGCATATACTAATACGGACAACAGAAATAAAGATTTTATTTGTTTTTTACTAATTACTAATTGATTATCAAACTGAATCGATACTTTGCGCGCTAAGCTATGTTATTGTTGGTTACATGAGACGATGTATAGTAACGTATCAAAGCAACTGATTCCTGCTAAATCAATCATTTCACCGACAAATATTCACCAACATTATTTCGAAGTTATCCTTTTTTGTTAGTTAATTGTGGTGAAATGTACTGTCGGTGATTGTCGATGAAATAATACGGACCCATATAAATACATGTTGTGTCTGAGTTTGCGACCTGTCTCGGTTCAGAACCCAGTCACTCAGTCCAGAACTCAGTTGTCTCAGTTCTCAGTTCCGAACTCAGACACTCAGTCCAGAACTCAGTTGTTTCGGTCCAGAGGTCTCCAACTGAGATACAGCATACATAATAACTTTAATTATTAGTATATATTATAGTCCTCATTGGGCTTATTGGCGGTTTTGCATACTAATAACCAAGTGCATTGCAAGTTTACAAGTTGGGTTGTTAATATTAATTCTACTTTAACTACTTACTTTAAACTACTGGTTGTCCTATTTCGTTTTTTATTCTAATTTTCATTATTGTCCAATTCAACAGAGGTTTAATCGTATGAGTTTTCGAGGTCTTTATTTAGTTTTAATCGTATGACATTGCTAGCCAAGTAAGGCTGTAATACTTTTCAATTAATTGTTGACTTGACCGATGCTTTGGATCATTATACTCCTGTCAACAACATTACTTCCTAGCAGAAGCCAAAAGACCTTTAAAATATTACACATAAATTTGCAATGAGGCTTCGCTGAAAGCTTATCAGCTGAAGTAGAGAAACAACCTCTCACATGAATTTAAAGAATGCTTTACAGTACGAAATACTTTTCTTGTTCTGTGTTTTTTTTTTTTTGGTTGATTGATTCAGTCGAAAACCGTCATGATCGCATAAATAGTTGAGATTCGTATGCGCTTTTCCAACTGCAGCCGATGCTTCTGATGTTAGTCTCATGTCGACAAAGACATTATTCGGGGGGCAAGTTTGAAAAATTGACAGTTTACTTGGGGAATGCTGATCAGATTATATTATCAATTTATGGAAGTCAAGAGAGATCGGTTGCTTTATGCGCCTTATTGTAATCGGTTGAATGTATGCCTGGTGAATATTAGTGCAGTCCACGTGATAGTTCAGGTAATACGATCTGTCACATGAAATATGGATCTTATTCGGAAGCATTTGAAAACATAGTCAATAGGAACAAAAATAGTAAAATGTATATATGCTAGGCAGGGTTGAATATAATTTTAGTTTTAAAAATTATATGGTTCTGCTGTCACATACCAAAGTTGGGTAAGTTTAGGTTTATGTAACAAACTATACATAAAATATTTACTAGAACCATTCGGTTGTTCGAAGCTAATAGTTCCACACGGTTTTTATTGGATTAAATTTTCAGCACTAACTGTATGTTTTGTATCATTGTCCTATTGTTTATGTAAATGTAATACATTATGTGTTTTGGAAATTCTAAAGAACAATTGTATAAAAGTTTGCTTGTCTGACAGGTTTAACTACTCAATAAAACTGTTTACGAAATTGTTCCGACCATGCGTAGTAGCTTGTTTATACGGTTGACAGTGTGTAATAAAGTATCGGTGAGGCTCAAATTTGATTTAACTCATGTGTCGAGTTTACGAAGAGAATTCTGTAGGGAAAGGTTAAGTGAAGCAAGCATACATTTTGCTTCGTGAAACCCGAACTTTGTAGTTAATTGGTTAGTTTACATATGAACACGCCGTAATAAGAGGGTGGAAAATGGTGTAAGCAATGAGAATCAGCAGATTTTAGTAAGAGTGCAGGATACAGAGACAGGTTAAGATAATTATATACCATAAAGGTTTTTTAACGGTTTTTTCCCCTTAAAATAATGAAAAACCTGTTCATCGACGTTCACATTATACATTCTCGGGACTCAAAACGCAAAGCCACTACTAATAACGGCTAAGTTTGGTGTTCTTGCATATTATGCGAGTCGAAAACATGCCCCCACTTTTTTACCTGCTTTTGCAATACATTATCGGATATTGCCCTTTTAGAAAACTTTATTAGCATGATAAAAAATTTAATGCTTATTCATGCCAGTACGGGGTATTACTATTGGCCAAACGGTAAATACTATGTCAACGTAACGTACTCTGACTTTTTACCAGTCTCATAATTTATGTTGGGAATCATGGAACACAGATTGAAGTAGTACCATGTGAATGGCTTAATTCGGTTCTAGGATCTGCATGTTATTCGACGTTATCACATAAATTATATAAATTGTACAAGAGATTATTCTAATGTGATAATTCCGAAACGGATCAACCCCTAGAACCAGTCATTACCAAAAAGACCTCCGTTTTGTGTTTTCAGTACAAATTTCGTTTTAAACCGGACGTGTTATATTGATCCGTCCCAGATTGGCAAAATCACGCGGCAAATATCGGCTTTCCGACCCCCCCACCATTATGTGACCAAGACACATTGACAAAAGGCGTGCGAAAAAACTTCCTTGTTACGGAAAGATCTTCATGGCTTCCAAGCAATAAGGATGAAAATTAAAACTTCATATCTTACGTCTCGCAAGTCCAAAGCATTGTTCCGTTGTTTGTCCGTTTCATCATTCTCACATCATTTCTTCCCACTGAACCGTTGTTCGATTTTCTGCTTCTTACATTTTTACCCAAGACGTTTCACGAACAATGGAGAGAATGCCGAGAGAATCAAACCAGTTCAAATAATGGGAAAAAAAAAAGATCATTGTGGTGTCTGCGACCATAATTAGCTAGAGGAGGCATGGGCATGTGAAGTCTAGAGCCAAAAAGGGAAACAAAACTGTCAAAATGTTAGCCCCCGATAAACTATTCGCAGCGAAATTTTGCATATATACAGTCTCCCTTTAGCAAGCAGCCATCCCCCCTGATTCCCTGCGTGTTCATTCCCATCATTCCATATTTACGTGATCCCTGTGTAAATCAAAAGTCCGTGTGTTTCTATCGCGCGCAACTCTCTTTATCAAGAAGTGGGTTTCCTCATTCCTCTCAAATTTATTTCCCAAGGACATTTCTGTAAATATATACAGCACTGAATAAATGGACGTAGATGCGACAGAGTTTGCCCGGATGACCGCTCTTCTTGGAGCGTTTGTCGTTGGCTTTGGATTGGTTTCGCTGTTTATCAAAGAAAAGCTATATCTTTCCGAAGCAGGTAAGTTGGTTTCGTTTGGTTGATCCATTTTTTCTTCGGGGGTCGGAGGAGGGAGGGGGTCGGGGATAATCACGACGAGTTTGCGTATTCGTGCGACTATTGATATACGGACGATTAGAAAAGAGGATTGATTGGGCGGATCGATAGTATGCAAGCAGATATTAATAACCTAAATGAACGAATGCACAAGTTAAATGACGGGCGATCAAATAGCTGCTTGCTCCTTGTTCTACGACGTAATAGTTGACGCCACACAAAGATGATTAACAGGTTTATCATATTATTGCCTTTTAAAGTCGTTGCGCTCACAGTTGGTATTCTTGCTGGTGAATATGTTGGGCAAATCATAACTACCTCTGGTTGGGGATACCTGCCGCTGCTAACGAGGGATTTGACACGACTCGCCATTTCTATCCAGGTACGAAAATTTGGCGTATGTTGTACTTGCAAAACTATCCAATAGTACAACCAGCTAACTAAAACAATGTCTTTATTTAGATGATGGTTGCAGCTTTGTCCCTACCAAAGTAAGATCCCTTTTTTTCTCGGTAAATGTCTTTTAATGTCGCAACAATTTTTCTGTTTATCCACTAAATATTTGTCATATCTCGTAGGGCGTACGTTGTCCGAGAATATAAATCACTGTTACCACTATTGGGTCCAGTGGTATTATGGATGTGGCTTAGTAGTGCACTATTTACATACTGGATAATACCAGACATTGAATTTCCTGAAGCACTGTGCCTTGCTGCCTGTTTTGCTTCGACGGATCCTGTAAGTAATAAATACATGAAGGAAACAAGATGTGGCATTTTGGATGTGATTTAATAAATACTTTTCTTTTTCACTTTCAAGGTTCTGTCTAATTCAGTGGTGAAAGGTCGCTTTGCAGACAAACATGTGCCACCTCATATCAGGAATATCCTGTCCGCTGAAAGGTACGAGTTCCATTTGTACTGATTTTATGTGGAGGGAAAATATTACTAAGTATATATTCTCATTGTGCGATCACAGTGGTGCAAATGATGGTATGTAAACCGGTGAACGACTGTCGAGTTGCGGATTTCATATTATGAAATCATTACTAACCGTTTTTTTTTCCCCTCAAAGGTATGGCGCTCCTGTTTGTAAAGTTAAGCCTGCTACTGATCGAGTCTGAAAGCAAAGGAGAAGCTATAGCAAAATGGATTTATTTGGGATGGTTATACGAAATGGCCGTATCCGTAATCATTGGGTTCGTCGTCGGCTATCTTTCACGTAAGGCATTGAGAATTGCCACGAAAAAGAATCTGATTGACAAAGAATCCATGCTCGTATTTGCTGTTGCACTGGCGGTAAGTAGACAATCACACTTTTTCAAAGGAATGACAAAACCCCTCAAGCTTGTGTATCCATTATTTTCAGATATTTATCATGGGCCTCACGACGACGGTTGGAGTTAATGATTTTTTGGCATGCTTTGTTGCTGGGAATGTGATTTCATGGGAGTAAGTAGATTTTCATCGGGTGCTATTTATCTAATATGGTTATTTGACTAACAGTCAATATATCATACGCTATAGTGACTGGTTTCGTAAAGGGACAAACGAAGCACATTTTCAAGAAGTCATTGACATGTTACTTAATCTTGCACTGTTTGTGTATATCGGAGCAACCTTACCGCTTCCGTCGTTTGTGGCGGCTGAACTACCAGTGCCGTGGTGGAGATTGATTATCCTTGCATTACTTATATTTGCTTTCCGTCGAATACCGATTATTATTGTGTTAGGGAAATGGATACCGGCCTTCAGGACATATCGTGAAGGTACATATGAGACTATGCTTTTCTGGGAGTTAATTGGGTTACTATATGAAAACCCACGCTTTCCTGTACATTAATAATTTACCTTTGTATAGCTGCGTTTGCCGGTTTCTTTGGACCCATTGGCGTTGGTAAGCTCAGCTGACTTGCACATTCTTATGAAATGTGAATATAGAAAACTAATGGTGTATTTTTCTTTAGGTGCTGTATTCTACAGTTCTCTTGCTACCATCTTTTTCGATAATAACAATATCTATGAACGAAATGAACGTGCACGGGACATAGTCGGCCCGGGTATCTATTAAACTTTTTTTGCGTAATGATGGTTTCTGGTGTCATGTCACTTAAGAAAGAAAAACCTTTATTGTTGCAGTCGTGCAATTTGTTGTAATGTCCAGTGTAATTGTCCATGGTATAACTTTGCCCCTTGGTGAGTTTATGTTACACATCTTGTTCATTATCAATACTGTTAGATTTTCAACATTCTAATTGCATTCTCTTTAGTAAAAATGGGAAGGCGTATAAACATGTCCGCTGCCAGTCTCTCTCGCCTATCAGCCGCCAATCTCTCCCGCATATCTATAATACAAGAGAAACTATTAAAACAAACCAAAAACCAACAACTCAACATTATCGCTCAATCTGGACTTGTCGATATTACAGATGAAAAAGAACGTAGCAATGTTGATGGTAGTACGTCGATATATTTCGCCGGCAACACTGACCAGCGACGACAAGAATATACTATATTTGATGAAAATGAAAATATTGTTATCAGCGATAGTACGGGTGAACATATAGCTGTAATACACGTCGATCAACCGGATTCAGAAAAACGTGACAGCTTGCTAGCTCGTCTCGGTCAATGGGCGTGGCATTCGAAAGAAGGATCAAGCTCTACAGAAGCAAGTGAGAATTGGCAATCAGCAATCGAAGGCGAGAATGATGAGAATGATACGAAATTGGATGTTTTTGAGACGTCAAATGGAAGTGGGGGAAAATGAAAAAGTATCTGGGTCGAACAATTAATACGTCTTTTTAACCTAATTATAGTCAAATTGCTAGTAGAGGTTCTAGCAACTGATAATAGTAATAGTAATAAATGGAACTATTGGCGAGTTGTATGACATAAATCATTAAACATGACCATACAAAAACAAAGTTATCTTCTCTCCTTAAACTGGGATGGTAAAAATAATTGGGTATATAAGGTGTGCTCAGGTACAAAAGTGGTAAACTATTGAATTATTTTGAGAAAGGCCTAATACTAAAATCAATTCTTTTCGTTTTTGTCTTTCGGCGGTAGATATTGATGCACGATATGGCAAACTATGATTGGCCATGCCCCGAGTCAATGCAAGAATTAGCTACACCCCCTGCCAAAAGATACAAGATTTTACCAGTAAAACTCGAAAATTTCAAGTCGCTAATTCTCCATAAACTTATATCATTTTAAAGCTAAATAATTGTAGTTTTAATTCAGAAATACCTATAATTCGACCGCTTGCGTTCCGAGGTTATCGATCGAATTAATGTACAAGTCGAATTATCGTCAGTTAATTACAATAGAAATAATAATAAATGTCAAAAAATGTTCTGTAACCAGCGGTCGAATTAACGTATAAATCGAATTAAAGAAGGTCGAATTATCGGCAGTTGACTGTATCAATCTTAACGATTGTCGCGTATACCGACCGCCAAAGGTATAAATACGATTTACGTCAATCATTTACTAGTAATTAGCGAGTGAAGCTTTCATATCCTCCTCACACCGCAACAGTAATATCTTAAAATTGCTGATATCTTTCAGTTAAAACTGCAATCATTTAGCTTTAAAATGGTGTAAGGTTTATTGGTACTTGTTTGAGAAAATACGGAGAATTAGCGACTTGAAATTCTCGATTTTTCATATCGTATTTATACTTTGGCATGGGGGGGGGTTCGCTGAAGCGTCAATTAAACGTTGTTGGTTCGTTGATTCTAATAGACGAAGAATTGTCATTGAAGGCAGTTTGGAGTTATTCGTCCCTTTCTACAACACAAGATTCTAAAGAATTATTCAAATAATTAATGCACTAGATCATAAAATCATAGTAAACGACAATAGAAATAAAATAAAAGTCTATCAATTAATCACGTGCAATTACTTCGTGCAACAGATTTTATTATTATACTACCTTATTAGTCGACGAAAATTATGTTGATAACACAGCCCGAGAAACTATGTGCTTGACACTCAAGAAAACCAATCGATTGAAATGACGACCTTGATTTCTTCCAAGTTGGCTCCAGCCAGCCCCAATAAATCAGAAGGCGAGGATGAGGAGGATGAAACAATTGAAAGCTTTATGGTTCTGATCGAATATTACAATACGGCACTGCTGCAAATACCAATGCTGTTCAGCCCGGACAAAAAGCTTAGTGAGGTTCGTAATGAACTCGAAGCAACAGAACGTCGCGGTAGGCCCATGATGACAGATGAGATGAATTTTTATACTTATGGACATTATGCCATACCACACGAGGTAGAAGAGAGAACCGAACTCAGGCTTGTGCTTAATCTAGCCGAAGATAATACTTATACTCTTGTTATTGGATTAAATAATAATGATGATGGTGGTGGTGATGATAGTGCACAGTTTCATGGCTTAATTCGAAGACTTAACCTAAGCCACGGTGTCATCATTTACGACGGAGGTTTACAGCAATCACAAACGCCCCAAGAAGCTTTTGAGTTTATTGACAACCAGTACAAGTTATCGAAACAAAATTCTTCAACAGATTATAAAGTCAGCTGTAAAACCGACTATGACATTGATCAGTTACATAAGATTGGTTTTACAGGGAGTTCAGAGTTGAAAATACCATGGTAACACCTTCTTTCATATGTTAAGAGAACGATTATTGCATTCTCATGTAACACAGATCATATCGATATATTGACTATTCGAATAATTTTATGCTTATACTATTAACAGGCGGCCAGATGGGCTCTCGTTAAAGGCTGAGCCTTGGAGCGGCAACGATCGCAGTGGGTATAGAGTAGGCGAGCCAACGCATACTATTACCGAGTTCGTCAAAGCGACTTTATTTATGAGCAAAGAATATGTAAGACCGTCAGCAAGCTTTAAAAACGAAGTTGACCAAGCGTTGAGTCTTGATGATATTATTGCTGTCCGTGCAAAATTAATGGAAATATGTGATAGATATGGACCGTTCTGGCCTAGAAAGGTACAGCTCGGAGGAAGAATTACGAAAAGTGAGCCGGAGCGAAAGAGACTGGTAACAGATTTCGATGATTTCGATGATTTCGATGATAGCACTGTAACAGACATTTATACCAATGTCATTGGTGGCAATGAAATCTTGTACATGGAAGATGGAGACGCAGGTAATGAACATGCATTCTTTTGTCCGCGCGTCTGTTTATCCTTAGCTAACGAATCTAATGATTTTGGTATTTTTCTATTCACGTATAGCAAAATGGGCGGAATCTCTCAATTCCATTTCGTCGTGGAAAATTCTTAGATACGAAGATGTAGTCATAATATTCGAAATATTTGATGAGGAAACCCGAAATCATATTCTCCAGGCATTTTGGGGAAGCATTCTCTATCACGACATTCAGAAAGTAGAAGCAGTCTTTGGCCCGCAACATAAAGACATTCATAAACGATCGATTGACATCCCAGAACACTTGCATGCAAACATGGATCGCCTTCAAGTTTACGTGACTCTTCTGCGCAAGGATAATGCAAAGGATGCATTCTGCATAAGTACCGCACGCAGCCCTAAAGGAATTCCGGAAGTTTGTATCCATTATACAGGTCGAAAGCAGATTCCTCCAAAGACAACCAAAGTCTTTAGTTTGAGTTTGGCTGTCATTGTCACTGGATATCCTCCTTCATTTATTCTGGAGAAGCCAAACGAAAATATTTGTGTGAGATCTTTCAGTCTGCCAATACAAAAAGTCGGAAACAAGTTTATCGCGAAAATGCCTCAAAGGAGTTTCAAGCAAACTGCCATCTTGGCTACATGTTACACTTCGGATGAGGCAGGGCGAAATAGTCTAATGAGCGTAGTGAACAAGTCTAACGATCCTCTGATAGTCGGAACACATCTTCACGTAGATGACGGTGTTAAACTCTGTGCTTTTGGTATGTAGTGGTAAACAAATGGGAGAGGAGGGGGGCTTCAGATGAAGTTGTGTTTACAAGTTTGCGTGCGAAGGCTCTGGATATCGAGACCTGCTGCACGTGCTAACGTTATTGAGGTGATATTGTAGGCTACTGGGTTAAGGAAGACGGTTCGTATGAGCTTCACGACAAACTGGATACGGAAAACTTTCGAATAGCTTATTCGTAAGTGTAATTTATCACACATAACGACTGCACTCAATTCAATCACTTACTTACTTCCCCTCTTTATCGCATAGCATTATCACCGATATGGGAGGTGATGAGGCAATGGGAACTTTTAATTTTCCATTGAAATGGCCAACTAAACGGACGCCCGGACCCGCAAATAATTTGTTGGAAACTGCCGAATACAAAGCAATGGCGAACAAAATCCATTTGAGAAAGCCGATGTTTGCAGGAAAGAATGAGTGCTATACAATGTGTGGTAACGCAGTCTTTAAGCAAGGAGAATGCGTACCAGGGTTTATAACTTGCTATCCTAGCCATATGCAGTTCTGGACTTTTGATGATTACTCGGATACACAAGGAGAATTTACATATTATATCCCGAGACTTAGTAATACTTTCAATCATAGAATAGGCAAGAAAATGGGGAAAAGAATTTCACAGGCATATTAGAGAGGGAACTTTATTGGCTTTATCGTTTCGACATTATGCCATCATTGTACATTTTTGCCATAAATTAAACATATCATCGCTCAATATTTCAAGTCCACGCAAGATACAAAGGGGGGGGGGGGGCAAAATCCACATCGTCGTGTGTCCTGCAATTACTTGTTTATTGGCCTGGCGGTCAGTACCTTAATGCGTAAATTGACTGAATGCTAGCACCTTGTTGAGCTATCACATTTTGGATGGATAAAGATAATAGTCAGTCCGAAATGCCCGTTATTTGTTCGCTCAAATGAAAATGTCTCGATCATTTGTTGGTATCAATCAATCATCCTAAACATCTGTTTAAACTTCTGTTTTACATGTTAATTTTCGAACCAGTCAATATAAAGGGATATGAACTCTATGCAAACAAACTCGTCCAACAATTCTAATTCATATAAAATTGCACAAGTGAGTATTTGTTGTGTTGAACGCCATTATTGCCAGATTGATGATACTGACACGTGTACTTATTGTAGACATAATTTTAACTTTTCGTGTTAATCCAAATATAGTAAAGAATGGTTGATGGTGGGCATCGTAAATGAATATATTTCCCCACGTAGAGTTGTTCTGTTGGCCAAACACCTCCTTGCATGGCATGGGAATTACTATTGCGAGATACACGTACATGCACGTTAGAGGCTTACAAGAACCGTGTAAAATTGTTTGGAATTCGAATTATCGCAGAAGATCTCTTTTCCTCTTCCCTTCGGACATAGTGTGGGAATAATCTCGGCTTTTTGAGGGGCAACGGACAAGTCGGTTTTTTTACTGTAACTCTGCGTCTGAACTATGTGTCAGCATGTCAATTCGTTATTCTAATCATCATGGCTGCTGTTTAAGCGCGCAATTAATTAGCTCTTAGGAACGTCTCGTAAGTTTTTATAATAAACCTGCATTTTGATGTTAAACCAACAAAGCACCTTTTATGTTACATGCCTTAAACACTGTTAAACCAATTTTCTAGTCGTTCTTTATTCACGTTTGGTTTCCAAATTTATATCCGCTTTAAAAAAAAAAAAGAAAAAGAAAAAGAAAAAAGAAACAAAAACAAATATTCGCTATTGTGTATATAGCATCTGTATACATGGGGGAAGCATTACATTGTATTTTGAGCATCCTGATCTAAGATTACTCGAACCTCCCTGCTGTAGATAGAACAATCTGTCTTTAATCTATCGTACTTTTTTACAATTGCAACAATTGTTTGCGGAAGCAACTGCGAAGTTTGCGATTGTTGTGGAAGACGTCTAAATCTATGAATAATTTCCTTTAAAGCCGTAACTTGAGCTGACCAAAACGTTTCGAACGCGGACGTGTGATATTTTATGTTGCTATTAATTATACAAATATGCGGGTTAGAGAAAAAAAATACTTTATCTCTCCAGCTCTCTCTTAAAAACTTCTATCAAATTACCTGAGATTCTTGATAAGCTCCCTGGTGATTTCAAGGTTTTTACTGGAGCGATTCTTTATCGATTGAAGTTCCGCCAACTGTTTCTTGAATTCTTGCTTCTTCCCATTAAGAAGGGCGTCAATTAGGTTAATGACAATTACTTTAACCATAGGCAAAGCAATATCCAGTACAATTAACCATTTCTTCGCAATCTTGCTTCGACGTAGCACGGCAGTTGACACATCTTCAATTCCATCAAGGACCTCAGCAAACATGTTTGTGAATGAAGGCGGCCCATTTGCAGCCAGTAAACTTTCTTCTTCGATGGCCAGTTTTTCACATTGTTCAAGGTGTTCCTGATACCCTTCACAGGATTCTTTGATTTCTTGAAGATGTTCGATAATAGATTTATATCCCGACTGAAGCTGTTCGGCCCCGTTTTGTAAATTCTGAGCGTCTGTAAGTGAGTTTTCGAATGACTCTAAGTAATGGTCAGATGAAAGCCCTTCCGATTGCATTATAGCTTGAAAGTAGACCGCCATATCGTCAGCATGGTCGGACAATTGCATGCTATGTTTTAAAGACTTGTTGGTCAAGTCACGAAATTTGGTTTTCTCTTTTTTGACAGATTTAATGAATTGTTTAATAACATCGTCGTCAGGGTTCATAATTTCACATTTGTGAAGAAGCTCTAGCGCAGTATTCGTGGAGTTCACAATCGCTTGTCTATCTGGAAGCTTCGTCGTCAGTAATTTTTCCGTGGCGCGATTGATGATATCATCGTCAGCGGCATACATATTTGCTAAGGAATACAAGTCAGATTATTAGCACAGGTCCTCGCTCCGGTAACATGTCGATGTATAGTCGTCCACTCACCGACTGAGAACGGCAAGAATGGTTTTTTGCGTTAGTGCAATGTAACCGCAAAGCACAGCGCACAATACCCGCTATAACATTATTATATAATTGTTGCCGATATGATATTATTAGAAACTCGAATTCTAACGTTTGTTTGCTCAAAACATCTGCTAACCGTTATTGTAAGAACAAAGTCCTGCTGTGTAATTGTGTAATATATGTTTGACCAGTAAACGTCTGCCAAAGGATTTCCGATGAAGGGTGGCTTTCCACTACTATATCTAGAAAATAATGATGTTTCGTCGGGATACAGGGCGTCAGTTCATAAGTAGGTGCATGATTGCTAAACGCTATCGGGCGTAAATTGTCTACTCATCGCTTATCCATAGAAAAGTCTCTTGTGATTATGTAAATATTTACATATAAATTTACCCAATTCAATGATTTTACGTATCATGAATCGGCTATGAAAATTACACAGTTCACGGAATAAATTAAACCCTTAAACCTAATTCACAATGTAATATATGATGTTCGATTGAACGACATTCCCAGCGATTAAAAGGTTGTAAGCTCATTTACTAACTTTTTTAAATCTCCATACTATCAACGGACAAAGTTAATTGGGTTATGTAAATGACCCAAGGTTGTTTTTCTAATATTTTTGTTGGTAATAATCAAATGTTTGTTTATACATCACTAATCAATTCTTCTCAATCTGGGAAAGAGTGTCAACCCACCATTGTACTGTTAACAAGATATTAATACCAAGAACTGTATATTAGATAATAGCTTTGTATAGAGTATAAGCATGTAGGCAAGAACTAGCATATATCTCAATGCTATGTACGATTGCAGCTGTCTGTAGGCATTGTATGCATACCGCAGTGTGACAGAATAAGCATCAAGCATGCAGAAGGCTTATACACTGTTGGGATCGATCGATTGGTCGAATAATCGTGATTTGCAGCTCGTCATACTTACCCCATGTTAAAAATAGCAATTTTTTCAATGAGCTGTTGATTAATACATCGCTAACCAAGTAAATCCAGAACGAGAAACAAAGTCGACTAGAACACGGATATTCATGTCAAAATTATCATTTGCCTTTTCTCTTTATTTCTTGCAGCAGGAGCCCATGAAAATAAACTATACATCATTTACTCAAACCAACCAGTCCAGTCTTTGATCAATTGGTGGTGCCGCAACTTGACCCCCCGTCTATCGACCATACGTTGGCCTAATCGCATACCACAATGTCATCTCCCCAGTTTTATAATCCAAGTAATTCGGTGGCTCTATGGCTACAAATATCGGATAGCTTGACAAGCAGTTTACGAAACGGTCTAGTTAAATCGTTAAAGTCTTCTACTTACATACTGATGAGAATGATGAATAAATATTCTTGCCGTAACCAGGTCTCAATTTCCAAAATCAAAAATAATCGAGAACAATTATGACATTACAGTTTCATATCTGTCTTGAACTTGTTCCGAAAGATACTGCCATATTTCGGTTGAGTATCTTTCAAAATCGGTTTGGTAGTTTGTCCATTTTCGTCTAAATGCTTTCGCCTCGAGTAGGCCCAAATGTCTTCCTTTATTCTCATAGCCCTGCAGCCTCTCGAATAACCTCTCTGCCTCGACACCTCGTGCTTGCCAATGGATTTCTATTTGCCTGATCTCTTTTGCAGAATCTTCTAAATTCGTGCATAACGCTTTCATTAATTCGTTGTTATCTATTTTAACCATTAAACCTTGTATATCTCCCGTGAGCGCTGTAATACTATTTCCCTTGCTCTTTATAGTAGCCGCACCACCGACTCCTACCAAGCCGCTCAAAGATGCGACAGCAGCTGCTCCGAGTGCGACTTGGGGAGCAAGAATACCAACGGTGATTGCTCCGGCCACACCCGTCGCGCCAAGTCCTGCAAAGACCTTTCCAAATGTCTTCGTTCCATTTGCATTGTCAATGTCTTTCAATAACTTGTCCATTTCCTCCATCTTCTCTTGAACTTCTTTCTCCAAGCAATCGTTTGCATCCTTTGAACAGTTTGTCAACGCTACGTAGATATCTCTGAAAACTTGCGCTAAATTTTTCGCATAGGTCTCATATTCTTGCGCAAAAGTTACAAGTGCCCTGACTGCATTCATAAACTGTCCGATATCTGTACAAGTTGGCCCGAGACTCTCAACCGCATTGGACAATTCGGCGCTTTTTTCCATCATAAGCCTGCTGTCTAGCAAATATTCAAGTACGGCGTGGTCGAATACGATTTTTTGGACGTCGAGCACTTCGGCAATGCCTGCTAGTATTGGATTCTCTTTTGCCATTGTCAAACATTCATCAAATTGCTGAGACGCATTTTTAATACAAGTTTTCACCAAGTCTGTGGAGCTTGACATTGTCGTTGTTGAGATAATGGGACGCTGGATATTGTTGAAATTCAAATCTCAGAGACCGAGTTTCTCAGTGATCAAAGTTATGTTACCATCGGGTTACATTTTAATGCTACATATATATATTGATACCCTCCCCCGGAATAGTTCGTGGTACCCGGAATTCCTTGTGGTGAATTTTGTATGACACGAATATAAGAGAAGTAAGTCTTTTCAGAAAAATCCGAAAGGCAAAAGGTTAGCATGGCGACTATAAATATAACAGAACTGCTGAACCAAATCTTTCCAGACCTCAATACACTCGAAGACCTCATCAGCAAGGCTCTTGAAAGCTTTGGAGAAGCTAACAAACTGAGACGAGTTTACCCAAATGTCGTTGAGCTTCGGAAGCAGTTCATAACAGTTGTCGAAGAAAACGCAGACCAAATACTACGAATAAAGTCGTACTGTGACGATGTGGCAATATACTGTGAAGGTGCATCTAATAAACAATATCACATCAAAGATATCAAAGACACTTTGCCGACCTTACGAGCAGACGCTTTACGGTATGCACAAGCATTAAAAGACTTAAAGACGCGCTACCAGTCTGTCGTTGATGAAATAAGTGATTATTTGACAGCATTACGTCGTGAGAAATATGAAGAGGATTTTAAGACACGTCGCGATCGTGCGTTGGATCTGATTTCTTATTTGGCAATTACGGCTTTTAGTGGTATCGCTTGTTATGGTATGCTGGTTGCTGCAAATGCGGAGCAGAGTCCTTCGACCAATGAATACGCGGAACAGAGTTCGTCGATAACAGAGACGAGCAGACCTGCACAGACAGAAGTGAATATGACGGGTGGGGATGCGGAGTTTACAAACATACGCGCCGATACAAAAAACAGTACAGACAATAGCAGCGCATTTAATGAGACAAGCAATAATGTAAATTCATCTAGTATTACTAACAGCACGTTTGGTGGGTTCACTTCCGTGATACCTTTGATGCCTCGAAGGTATCCTCACATTGGAATGCCTCTGGCACTTGTAATATTATTTTGGAACTGGCAACCTCGAATTTTAAGTAGACTTCCTAATGGAGCGAAAAAACTATTACCAAGAATTTTAGTCAAATGCCTTTCTCTTATACCTTGTGTATCTCGAGGAACCAGCAATGACACAAGATATGAAGACTTTACATTGCCTCTCTCGAAACTTGATCAAATACGTATCCCTGCAATTGTTGAAAATATCGGTACGCTCGTGAATTTCTTTGACAATCAAGTAAATGGTTTTGATATTATGATCGAGAGGCTCGAATCAGCAGGTAGCCAAGATTTCTTAAACTTGTCGTTAGAAGTTGAGAAAAAGACGGTACAAATTTGGAATGAACGCAAGCAGAATTGCGAAGATTCCTTTTCACGTATCAAGCTTATTGTGGCAAGCGCTGAATTGGCATGAACTAGCTTATTTAATAATAAAACACTAGTTGTCAACGAGGGGTCAGAATTTGTATTATTACTTCAGAACGGTATTCCAGTAGTCTGCATGCGTCAACTTAGTGATTATTTGCACTTGAGAGATTATCCTTTATGCTCGCGGCATCTAGATTATGTTCTAATAATGGATAATACACGTAGTAAAATTAACCAGCAAGTGGCGGATCTCGTTATCGCGCAAAAAGAAATGTAGCTATTTTTGTCGCACGAAAAAGAAAAGAGAATAAAATCATTGCTTACCTTTAGCAGCAACGCTATAATGAAAACAAATCTCGCGCGGTTGCAATTGGCTTCGAGGAGGATGCCTGAACAAACGAAGCTGGTATTGACTACTCAAAAACGGAGAATGACATTTTATAGCCTAAATTCCAATAATATCTAAGATAAAAGCCAAGATTAAAAAAATAGTTGTCTCGGCGGTTATAATGTATTGCAAGGCAATAATGGAAGACTGGCTACCTGCTACTTTATATTAATAGTTCCGATACGCAATTGAAAAAATATGCTCAATTGAATTGCCAAAATATACAACTATTTTCTTTATTCTTGCCCCCCCCCAATAGTAAAAAAAAAACAAACCAAAAACCAGTCGCATCGGGCAAATTCAAGTTCCTTAGCGTCGTTCATACATACAGTAGAAGGACTGAAAATGACCCGTCTGAAACTGTAATAGTATAGGTGGATACACCAGATGAAGATTCAGTCTTAATACCTATGCTCATTAACCTGTCTAAAAACATACGTTATAACAAGATTCATTTACACTAAATAACATATACATCCAAAATCGTTTCGAAGAACACATTAACTTATACTACACCACTTTTCGATGACAGCCTCTGCTATATAGCTGTTGCCTCGATTTAAAAACAGAAAGAACGACTGTCTGAGTCCATGATTCGTAATAAAAGACCTCGAGATCGATATTGAGATCACGTCTAGTTTGTAGCTAAGGCATCTTTATCTAGGACGAGTTGACAATTGCTACTGTATTTCATACAATCCTCTTTTAATTCTGTATACTTGTTCTTTAGTGCAGTGACAGTTGGTGGGAACAGCTGCAAGGTTTGCGATGTCTGCGGAAGCCGTTGAAATCTGCAAATGATTTCTTCCAACGCCATCACTTGAGCCGACCAGAAAGTTTCAAACATTTGGATCTGGTAGTTTATATTGCTACAAACATAAATTAGCGGATTAATACAGAATGCCATTGTGATGACGACCAAAACACAATATTATGCATTACCAGATATTAACAATAAGTAACTTGAGATCGTTCTGATCCTTGCTGAGGCGATTTATGCCCGAGTGAATCGGTTCTAACAGCTTTTTTATTTTCACTGCGTCTCCGTTCGTGAACGCATCCACAAGTTTGAGAATATATGGTTTTACTAGAGGCAAAGCTATTAACATTTCCCACCTCATCACAGGTGCAATACAGAACATGACATTTTCAAAAAATGTATTCACATTCTCCCGCATCTTCTCCTTCTGTTTATTTGCCTCTGCCAACTGTTCGGTCAGAGAACGGCTTGATTCATTGACCAACTTTTTACAAAACTCCAACTGTTCCTGACATTCCTCCAGGTTTTGTTTGGTCTCTTGAAGTTTTTCGATAATCGATTTGTATCCCATTTTCAGCTCTTCGGCTTCGCTTCGTAACGACTGAGCATTTTCAAGTAGATTACTGAATGCCTCCAGAAAGCTTTGGGGACAACCACCTTCCAATTCCAATATACATTGAAAGTATATTGCAGCATCATCAGCATGGTCAGCCAATTTCATGCTATGCCTTAAAGACTTGTGGCACAAGTCTTGAAAGTTTGTCTTTTCTCTTTTGACGCTTTCGATATTTTGTTTAATAGCATCGTCATCAGGCGTCACCTGCTCACATTCGCGCAGAAGCACTAATGCGGTGGACATACAATTAACAAGCTGTCTACCGTCGGGAAGTGGCGTGTCCAACAAGTCGGTTACGGCATTGTCAATCGTACCGTCGTCATTAGTTACTCTCATATTCTCAATAAATAAATAACCAGTTAAGCAATTATGTAATTATGTGTTTGTATATGTTAACTATATCGTGGGTAGTGCATTTGCGTTCAAAGAAGACGATGTTGGTTTTGTTAGAAATATTAACTATTTAGATTAGCCAGTAGAATGTGATGTCATATTCCCATAAATATTTCCGGGTATCTTCAATACTTCCATATCCGGAAGACAATGTCTAAAACAGATAACGATAGCTGTTGTCTAATTGTACAACACCCGCAGTTCACACGACACGGATCAATTAAACGTCTTAACTTATGCATTATTTATTGGCTTCTCATCTATAAGATTATGACCGACGAAATAGTAGCAACCGCTTTTGCCCTCGACTTTAACGGTTGGAAAGATCTCTCTCTTCCACCTTTCAAAGAACTCGATTATACGTTTAACGACTTGCAACGGATGTTTTTCGAAATCGTCGAATTGTGTACTAGTGGAAAACGTCTGAAGTTAAAGGACTTGGTTGTACAGAATAGCCAGGCATTAGGTGAAATTAAAGAAGACAGCGCATTAGCAGCCTACAAACTCGCCTCATATGCCCGCGAGATGATTATTTATTTAGAATGCATATCCAACCGAGACACTACTATTGACGATGCAATGGCATCACTAACGTTTATGAGGGAATCTGCGGAAGTAGAGGGTAAATTTCTGGATAAAATTATAAAAAAATTGGAAGACTTATCAAAGGAGTTTTATAGCATTACAGACGATTTCGGTAATATCCCGGACGACTGGCTGTTCGTTTCCGAGGAAGCGAATCAGGCAGAATTTCAGGATGCAACAATGCCACAGTGGCTGCTGCATAGAGTCTCGCAGTTTGTGAATACGGAAACGCTAAAGTTTGTATCAAATCAACAGAACTCATTTCTTCCTTTCTCCCGATAACTTATATTTTGTCTTTCAGAACAGCAATACAATTCATCGATGGAACGGTGGCCCATGACAAAAACAATGAGAAAAGAACAGACACAGATATCAGGATGTCTTTTTCCAAGATTCAAGTAAAACTATCGCTTCTTCTCCTATTTTTAGAAGAATCTTCCCAGTTTTGGCGAAATCAACAACAAGCTATTGATGGTCTAGTTGGTGAAATGAATCGCACTCGTGGAACCGAAATCATCAAAATGTCACAAATTATAGGGAAAACAATAATAGAGAAATGGACAGAAGCTGAAAAGGGAGGCAATCAATACTTTTGTACGATAAAAGAGCTCCAACCTTTAGTTGTCGCGCAATCGAATTCGTATAGCAAGGGGTGATAAGTTTAAGAGACAAAAGTTCAACCTGATTGCTGATAAGAAACGAAATATTCTGGATTTTTTTATTGTTGTTGTTGTGTTGTTGTTGCTGTTGTTGGTTTGTTTGTTTTTGGTATTATCAGGGCTTGTGGCAGATTTACCTTCGATATTTACTTAATACTCCTTCGTCAGAAATAAACAAATATACGGATGTTACAAAAAAAAAAGCGATCGATTGACATATTTAATATTGCTGACATCATAAAAAAGAAGCATTTAAAGAAACTTACTGTTCTTCAAAACGTTATTGTGAAATGTTCTCTGACGTGTTTCCAGAGTTGCTCTACGTATTTTTCGCACTCCTTTTTATAGTCTAACCATTTTTTCTTGAAAGCCTCTGCTTCCAGTTCGCTGAGATGCTGTCCTCGCCGTTCATAGTTGGCAAGCTTTTTAAGAAATCCTTCAATATCAACTGCACGCTTTTGCCAATAAGCTTTTGCTTGGCCAACTCCTATTGTAGCATTTTTCAAAGCCTCGTGTAAGTTTTTAACAGTATTCTCGCTGGATATTTGAATGTCCAACTCTCGAATTTCCTTTGTAAGCTGCTCCAAACGCGCAGACGCGTCATGACGAGTCTTGGTGCCGTAAGCTCCCGCAACAGCGCTCACACCTGCAGCAATTACTGCGACAACTGCTACTTCAGGCAACAAAATAGCACCAACGACTGACGTAGCTAGAGAAACTCCACCCCCTCCAGCGAACCATGTCCCAGATGACTTCTTTTTAGCTGAATCTTCTTTGTGTTGATGCAGATTCTCTAGTTCTTCCTTTTTACTGTTCAACATATCCAATTGTTCCTTTACATTATTCGAACAGCTCTTCAAACCATCAGATATCCTCCCGAATGAAGTTTCAAGATCGTTGGCAACATTTTCGTTGTGTCTCACATAATTCAAAAGTGCTTCCACCGCATTCTTATATTGCGCAATATCAGTCGATACTGGTCCAAGGCGTTCAACGTCCGCGAACATCTTTGAACTTTCTTCAACTATACTTTTGCTCTCAAACAAAGAATTCATGACAGCTTTACAAAATAAGACTCTATTGACTTCAACTTCTTTAGTTGTACTCTCTATAAGGCTCTGAGTTTTCGCTAGCTCTGAACATTTCTCAAATTCTTGAGCGGCAGTTATTATAAACGAGCTTACTGAATTCCCGGGCTCCATTAATAAAATTTCGAGACGAAGAACACAATTTTAAATGTTATTATACACTCTCTGATTGGATAGTCTCAAATGTCTGCAGATCACGTTTAGATCTCCCATTGTAAGGGAGGCGGGTTCCGTGTCCACACTTTTCAGAGGTCATTTGCTACTCTAATAAAATCGGAATTAATGTCCAAGATAACAAAGCTTCAATAATAAGCATTCAATACATCTCATCATCCCCAGTTTCAAAACTTTAATCCATAGTTAATATGATAGTAGCGGGCATCGTCCACAGTCGGTTTCTATAATCAGAGTATAGTATATAGTACACGTTTTTAGCCTGTGGCAGATGATAATGACCTACGTAAAACTAACTGTGAATTGTGAGTGATATATTCACTTATATAAAATAACGAACATTGATTTTCTTCGCAAAGGTTTACGGAATTGGTTGTTTAATTCGATAATCAACAAGAATAATACAGTAATCGCATCAATGCAAGGGGATGTGTCGTCTTCCACATCCCCCTGGGTATTCTCTATGTTATGCGTGCATGAAGCGAGCCGACTGTAGAGCAGAAGCAACGATAGCTTATTAATCGTCTAGACACGTGAACAGAGACAGTCGCAGCCCTAACACTGGCCTTTATAACAAGTGTTACATTACCCTTGTCACTGGAGGCGTCTGCGAGAAACCAGTCCGACAACTATAATATTCTAGTTTGCACACATCACAATTAAAATTTATCTTATTTTTCAATAATGAACAAAACACATTAGATAACTCTGCATTCCCGCCATCAATTGTCTTACATATGCCGGATAGGACAATTTTTTTTTCACTGAGTATTTATCGAATAGTCAGTTAGGGACGCTGCCACTAGGTGTACAATAGCGGAGAATCGAAAGCGCATGTTACGTAAGTAAATCGAAGCTTCGTTGCTGAAAAGGCTGGCTTAATGCTTATTATTATTTCGTGCTTGTGGTAAATACGACGCATTGACCATTGAATCGAAGCACATCGCGGCCACAACTTGCGAAAGTTACCAAGCAGGTATACAGCCTAGGGTGCGATCTGTTGTGAACGTTCTTCATTGGTTTTGACCATCATGACACAAACCTCATTTTTGTTCATTCGCCTTACCCCAGGCAATGAGAGTATTGACATTATTGCAAACTTTAAATCCAATGCAAGAATCACAAATAGTAGTTAGTGAGTACTGGCATTTGACAATTTTACGAATATACAAACGTACAGTTGTCGTCATTAATATCCGGAATTTAATTTTGCAAACAAATAAAGTTTTATTTTTATTATTTTTGTATGCTTAAATTCCGTACATACATTGCCAAATTAATCGCGTCTGTTGAACTCATTGGTATGGACGTTATTTATACGACAAAACATCTCTGTCATAATACACAATCGTAGATGGTGCTCTACATTTGTACTCGTGTCTGCATTACAGCAATATTGGATATTGATATGGTGTAATTCCCTCTTCTTCGAAGCCCATCGATTATTATGTCTATTTAACGATCACTTTTCTACCAATAACAACATGATATGCGTATGGAGCAAGTATCAAGATTCTTTTGTTGATTACGGAATTGTTCATTGATATCCGGCCATATCAAAGGAAGACTTTATTTAATACAGCGCTACATGATTATTGTAGTGCGCATAATATCCGAATAACTAGTCTAGTATTGTAAAATATTGGACGCGAAATAACACGTAATGGAAATAATCAATGCAATGATATTATTTATTGTTTTTGCCGTATTGATTGAAACAGGTGAGGGTGCTCTCCCCTGACATATTTGGCAGGTAGGTAGGTGTTCATAAGCTCTTGCCAAATGAAGTGGAAAGATTTCTTTATTGTTTGATAAACTATACGTGTCATATAATAGGATTGCTGAAAATGCCTGCTAACCATTTTATTTTATCTGCTTTCGCTTTCCATCCGTAGAGCTTAACGGTTAACATAATTCAGAGGATGAATGAAAATTTTGTGAGACGAGTTCTCGTATGGTCTCGCCCTAGTCGGCGTGAGTGTGCGGCAATGCTCTGTGGGTAGGTTTAATCGGCGTTGCTGGAAAATATGAATTCCAAGTATAGCATTCTGGTAGGCTATGTTTGGAATTTCAAATGTTGGATTCGATGGCTTAACGGAGGATAAGCGAAGCTACTTATTCTCATCATTGCCTATTGATTGATTTCTTACATGCATGCTTGTTGTAGTTGTATAGTAATTTTTTGGGGGTATCAAAGACAATGTCACCGGTTTTGCTAATGGTAAATAGTAATATGAAGGTGATTTAGAATAACTAGATATAGATCTTCATAATACTTAGAGCGGTCGAATTTCTTCGCAGTGATCCGATCATGGGCTACATCATGGTTGATTAAACCTTCCTTATTGCTTAATTACAGGAATACGAGTTTTCCTCGTGCACAAAACAACCTCGCGCAAAAAATTTTCACCTATCGTTTGACATGGCCAAATTGGTTTTTTGCCAAATCTTAACACTATCTGACGAGTAAGAAGGCGAATCAAGAATTCGAATATCATACATAGCGTTCAGTTATCTTGTGTATCCTGTTGAAAGCGCAACCAGTTAACGGTAAGGCGTTTGGCTATGATGCACAATATTGTAATGTATTATGTACCGGATCAAAATGCCGCATATTTATGACAACCACTGTATTAACTACCCTTTAAGTTCTATCGGTACTTATTAGAACGGTTGAGAAGGAAAGAAATTCGAACGAGTTGTCTTAGACCTCAAAAGAGCCTAGGCGAGGGTGTCGATATATTATTGGGTACTTTCACGGGTCAATGCAAAACTTACGAAATGGCAATTGGTATAAATTGACTAGGAACGTTTGATAATTGAACTACTTTGCATACATTTAGAAATCTCTAATCATTTAATAAATTTTATTCAGACGAATTTGTTATACATAGTCAACCTCGTTAATCCGAACCTCGTTAATCCGAACCTCGTTAATCCGAATTCCTCGTTAATCCGAAGAAATATTTTGGTCCCGATTCATTAATA